TTTTTTTTTTTTTACCCCTTATTCACTTCTTCCCTGATGTGAAATTCACTCTAGTCTTTCAGGAAAAGCTGTGACCATACTCAAGAGGATTTTTACTCCCTGTAATGAAGAGTGATGGGAAATTTGTCTCCACCACTGGGAGTAAGCCTGAAAATCCTGTAAGTATTTTGTGTTGGCCAAGGTAGACTCACATTGAGTGTCTTTCATCTTTGGTGCTTGCTAGAACACTAACACATCAGTCAGAGAAGAAAGTCTTTCTTTCAGTTTGTCATCCAATAATACCACTCTAAGTACAGGGGCTGGTAGTAACTCCTTGCTGGCTCTTCAGGTTTATGAGAATCAGGCAAAGCTGTTGGCTGCTACCCATTAGAATAGGAGCCCCATTTGTAACTGTGAATTGGAACTGTGTCTCTCCCCTAACCTGGGCTCCTCTGTCTCAGCCAAAGGCTTTGCTCCAAGCACTGATAAAATCAAAGCAGTGGAAATAGAGTGTTTCCTGAGGAATGGTTAACCTTGCTGCCACTATTCAAACAGCAAGTAGAATGTTTTAGAAGATGATCCCTCTCAGAAATGACATAATGTTGGATCTAGAAGATTCTGTGGCAGTTTGGGAAATGGCAGTTGATAGTTGTGAGGGTTATTTAATTGTTGTTCCCTTGAGACCCATGAAACAAGCTGCTTGTTAGGATTCCTCTGAAAGAACAGAAAATCACTGGTGCTTAACTATACAATACTAAGTGTCTGGTCCCAATAGCTCACAGCCAGCATCAGGTGTTCTATTCGCCCCTGTCCCTTATATATATTTGGCCATTTTGTGTTTTCCTAGGAGAAAAAGATAGAAGAGGAAGTAAATACTTTGAAATGGCAAATCTCTTTTCTCTTCCTCTGTGAATCCAGTAATAAAAAAAATAGCGCTTTTTTGGGGGGGTGGGGGTGGATATTTTATTCTTTGGAAATCCTCTTTTATATATAGATATTTTTTCCAAGGGCTAAGTCAGGAAAATGCTGGACTCTACGGTTCTTGCCGATAACACAATTATAGAAATGAGACGTGGGTCTTGTCCAAGCAAATAAAAATGGCAGTAGTCAAAACTTCACTGGTAAAGACTACTAGCCTCAACAAGACAGAAAGGCTACTATTACTAAATATTTAATATTTTATTCAATCATTAATTTATCACTTACCCTCCAATATTCTTTTAAGCACTAAGTCAAATAAAGCTGTTTTTAGCTCTGCAGCTGACTGACTCCCAACAACTCAAGCCATTTGGATTCTTTTGGAGCTCATACTGAAGATAAATGAGATTCCTATGAAAAAAATTGAGAATGAAATCGGGTTTTGGATTAGTCTAATGCTAAACTTTGCATTCAGGAAAGAACATCAGAACCAATTTCGACCATACTATGCTGCACAATGAGGCGTAATCCAAACTGTATTACTATGAGGGGTGGGTTCCCAGGTGTTTTAATTGTAGCGTTTTCTAGCACTCCTCTTGGGAAATCTGTTTCCATTAGGACTTGAAATGTCTCCGGATATTTCTAAACTTCTATAATGCTTCAATGAGGAACTTATTAAAGAAAACAAGCAATTAGCTTTCACCAGAATGGTGTTAAATCGCCATCTGAAATGATTCTTTACTTATAACTTGATATCATTTAATTTTCATAAATATCATCAGTTACATCAGTTATCATCAGTGTGGTTAAGTACACACAACACAGAAAACGGATCTCGGTCATGGTAACACCGGACCAATGCTCGCGGGAGTGCCTACGGAGGTACTTTGGATTCCAAACTACAACTCCCAGAAGGCGCCGCGGTCAGTTGGCCGCTTCTACGCGTGCGTCTCCGCCCCACGCTTGGTGTTGGGGGACGTGGGGGCGTTGCCGCCGTGCTTGTGCGCGCAGTGTGCGTGGCTTGAGCACGGCGGCGTTTTGCAGGGGACGCTTTCCTGGCCGGGGTGCTGATTTGGAAACGAGCTCAGCATTCGCACTGTCTTTTGGGCCTACCATGAGGCGCCTAGGTTCGGTGCAGCGGAAAATGCCATGTGTGTTTGTGACGGAGGTGAAAGAGGAGCCCTCCACCAAAAGGGAGCATCAGGTACCGAGGTGTGCGGCCCCGTGGAGCGGCCGCGCAGGGGCTGCCGGGCGCTATAGAGCCGCCCTGCAGGTCGGGAGCTTTTTTGCAGTTTTCGCTGGGGAGGTCTGGGATACGGGTCTCTACTCCCCGAGCTCCAGGTTCTCGTACCTTGTTAGTTGCAAGGGAGGGAATCTACGAGAGAAGTTTTCTGATGAGGCGATTCAAACTTGCCGTCTCATGGAAATTGAAAGCCCACATCTTAAATAGTGTCCCTTTTCTCAGGTTACCACCTTTTTGGGGAAGACCCTTTAAGATTCGCATAATCACCGCAGTCCAAACTTTCTACTTTCAAGAATGTGGTGACAAAGTGGAGATTGTAGAAGACTTGCTTTGCCAGTTCTAACCTAGGAACGATGGTGGTGTTGACAACTAGCCTAATTAGGTCACTAAAGATCAGATCTCACGTATTGTTACCAGTAATTACCTGCTTGATTCTAACTAGTGTTCCCATCTCTGGATGTTTCTCTCAGCACTGGGTTTTACACATCGAGGGACCTTAGTAAGTACGGGTGAATGATTAGTAGCCAGTATCAGGGTAATTCTTTAATATGTAGGAAAGTCCTTGATGGCAGAATCCCCAGATATTGAGTACTTTGAACTTATCATACAAAATTCATCATGTGCATTTGGCATAGGCTCCCACCCCCCTTTACATCGTTTGCACATGTGTTCTTGTTTTGAGACTGCCTTGTTTCTAGTCCCAATTTTTAGGACCTGACGTGTAGTAGGCACTGGGTGAATATTTGTTGAATTAAAGAATGAAACTTGGAACCTTTTTGTGCCAATTTTCCATTCACCTTGACACTTTTTACCTTATAATATCCTTTTTAGTGCCATTGCTGTTATAGTTCTTAATAGTTTATGCACAGTTTATGGCACTGCCTAATCGTTCTTTATTGCCACCCAGAATGATCATTGTTAGGGTCTTCCCTAGTCAAAATCCTGCAGTTAACTAGTAAATGTCTGTAGCAGTAGTTGCCAAACTTGTATTTTTTTAGTTACAACAAACCAAGTAGTGATTCACTCTAGCTGTGATTCTCAACTTTGTACGTTGGGGGTGGAGGCGTGTAGTTTGTAAAAGGACCCTACACCCGGAAAAATAAGCCCCTGTTCATGTCCCTCTGTAGTTAAGATTAGCTTACACTATTATTTATAGCATAGTATCCAGATCCTTAACTGTAATTCAAGGCTTCCCATTAGTCAGGTCCATTCTACTCTTGAAGTGCCTGTTGGACCTACCATGAGGTGCCTGGGCTCAGTGCAGCAGAAAATGCCATGTGTGTTTGTGACAGACTTGCTTCCTTAAAGGGAAGTCTCTATTTGAATAAAGTCTGTTTCATCCTGTGAACACTCCGGGCACAGTCTTGTCTATTTTTGCTCAGGCTGTGCACTTTGCCTGGATTACTTTCAGGATTTTCGAATCAGACCTTCTCTGAAATCTTTGATCATCTTAGTTATCCCAGTGAGTTCTTCCACCCAGAAGTTGTAGAGGATCACTCAGTTGACATTTACTATTACTTTTTAAACATACATGCCTTGTTTTTCCAGTCACAGTTTAAAGACTTCAATGAGATGGGGAACTTTGTGTACCCTTTGGTATCTTATATTGTCTTTTGGACATGTTGCTAGCAAAGAGTGGTTGAAAATTGATTCTTATGGAAGGAATATTTGGGGACTCATCAAGAGCTCCATCAGAGTAATCTCCTCCGTAGGATCCTTGGTAAATTTGAAAACACACAAACATTGCTGTTGGGCTAAACCTCCTCTCTTCTGCTACCACAGGTTAAATTGATATCGTCTGCTACTAATTGCAGAAGTTAGTGATAAATCCCCAATCATTGTTTTATCTTGAAAGTACTGAGTCAGGAACAGAATGGTGCTAATTTCCTAAGTCTACCTGACTCTGAAATAGTACTTCCACATACTAGTTTTAAACCTGTACACACCAGTATTGTGCAGTATGTTTCACATGAAAGTTGAATGTTAATTTGTACTGTAAAATGGTGGCTTAAGTCTTTCTCAGTAATAAAAATAAGTTACAGATAAAAAGTTGGTAGGAATCGCAGAAACTGTCTTTTCCTCCATTCTTGTTGGTCTTGGCGGCTCTTCCTGACAGTAGGAAAACCGTAAGTTTTGCAATTTACTACTGCTAAAGCTGAAAAAGTCCCATTTGTTTTTCTTCTTAGCATCAATTATAAATTATACTTGACATTGTATTACACATTCTGTTACACTTTTCCCACTCATTCAAATGAAAGTTCTACCAAAGGCAGGTATTCTTTTTTTATTAACCTCTATATTTCCTAGTGTGGAGGACAATGCTTACTTGACCCATAGAAGGCATTTAGCAAATAATTGTCAAGTTGTCAAGTGGATGATGGAACAGTCTGTGCTAGGGATACAGTGCTGCATAGGACACGGTTCCTGGTGTCAGTTCATTATGGTGGATAAAGAAACATGAGTAATTGCAAATCTGTGTGGGAAAACAGGTATTGCTGTGATAGAAAGGAAGGGGTGATTCATGAGAATTTCATGGGCAAATGTTTTTAAATTGTCTTGAAAGGTAAGCAGGAGATTATACTTTAGAAATAGTGAAATTAAGAACATTTCAGGTGGGAGTATGTGTGAAGGTGTAGAGACTGTTGATCTTAAACCAGTTTTCTTTCTCTCTTTTTTAAGCCATTTAAGGTTTTGGCAACTGAAACTATAAGTCACAAGGCATTAGATGCAGATATATACAGTGCAATTCCAACAGAAAAAGTGGATGGAACATGTTGTTATATTACTAACTATAAAGGTAAAATAAAACTACTACAAATATTATTATTATTATTATTATTATTATTAATATTTGTTTTTGAGAGAGACAGACAGTGCGAGTAGGGGAGGGGCAAAGAGAGAGGGAGACACAGAATCCGAAGCAGGTTCCGGGCTCTAAGCCCGATGAGGGGCTCAAACCCACGAAACGCGAGATTGTGACCTGAGCCAAAGTTGGACGCTTAACTGACCACGCCACCCACGCACCCCTACAAATATCTTTAATCACTTTACAAACTATATATATCTGAAATGGGGCATTTACCCTTCATAAACCCTTTGCACTCTAATAGCACAATAATAAAGTCACAAATGTTACACTTATCTTTCTCTTGAGGGAGGAAAAGGTAATTAACATTTAATACTCATTAAAGGCAGACAATGTGATAAATGCTTTATACATGTTATCTCTAATTTGCACAGTAGCCTCTCCATTTCACAGATACGGAAACCGATCTTCAGAGAACTTAAATAATTTGTCCAAGACCATATAATTAATGAATGACTGAATAGGTGGTGGAACCTATGTTTAATCCTAAACCTTGTTCTTATGCCACTGATTCTGCTGCCAACTCCTTAGTTTTTATTACTATTGGCAATATCTAATTGATTTCAATTTAATGCCTTTTAAGAGCTAGAAACTAAAATAGAAATTGTCAGTTAAGGAAAAAAAATGCATTGAAAGGAGAAATGATCTTTGTGATTTCCTGAGGATAGTGAAATGACCTCTTAATTCCAGCAAGAGAAACAGAACAGTTAAATGTAAACTAGACACATTCCTGTTATCAGGAAATCTTTTCTGAAGTGCATATTTTTCCATTTTTAATTGTGATTAAAATACACATAACACAGTTTACTATCTTAACCATTTTAAGTGTACAGTTCATCGTTAATGCTACTCTCACCACCATCTATCTGCAGAACTCTTCATCTTGCAAAATTGAAACTCAGTACCCATTAAATAATTCACCGTTCCTCCTCATCTAGTCCTTGACAACCACCATTCTACTTTGTCTCTATGGTTTTGACTGTTCTAGATACCTCATACATCTGGAATCATACAGTATTTGTCTTTTTTTGACAAGCTGATTTCAGTGTTCATCCGCGGTGTAATTCCTGTCAGAATTCCTTTCCTTGTTAAGGCTGAGTAACATTTCGCTGTGTGTATATACTACATTATGTTTGTATATACCACATAATTTTGTGTGTGTGCCACATAGTTTCATGTATGTGGCATTCATCCCTCATTGTACACTTGGGCTGCTTTCACATTTTAGCTGTTATAAACAATGCTGCTGTGAACATGGTGGGCAAATAGCTCCTTGAGACCTGCTTTCAATTCTTTTGGGGCTATATTCAAAGAAGTGGAATTGCTAGCTCATATAGTAATTCTGTTTTTAATTTTTTGAGGAACTGCCGTACTGTTTTCCATAGTAGCTGCATGATTTATGTTCCTATCCACAGTGCACAAGGGTTGCAGTTTCTCCACATCCTCACCAACACAAATGTTTGTTTGGTAGTAGTAGCCATTTTAATGGGTATGAGTGAAATGAGTTTTTTATATTTAGTAGTAAAAAGGACAAAAGGTCCGTTCAACCAGAAATGACAATATAATTTTAACCTGGTTCTTCATATTATTTACTGGGATAGTTAATAGGTAATACGTAATGTCTGAAACAAACTATAATCAGTAATTTCAAACTATATTTGAAGAAACTAAAAGATTTTTCAGGCTTTCATATTTACATTAAAAAAGTTAAATATGCATCATTATGTATGATGTATAATAGTGGCAGTTAAGCATGAATGGATTATTAAAGAAAATTTACAGGACAGGACCCCAAATGACAGTGATTGCAAATCCTCAGTTTATTGCAGGTAAAGGGTACACAGCATTATCAAGGGCATGAAAAGTAAGGATGTACATCACAGCAAAGGGTCTGGGAAGACCAGGTGAAAGCACCTATTGGTACCCTCCCCACCGACCCCCCTCTCCATTGCTCCCAGCCCCCAAGGTCCTAATGGAACACACTTTCTCAAATCAGGAACCACTGATGTATGAAGAAAACACACTTTGGTAATGGAATCCAAAATGGAGTTTCAGCTGGGGATTTTTATTGTTTTTAATTTATTTATTTATTTTGAGAGAGAAAGGCAGAGAGAAGGGAGAGAGAATCCTAAGCAGGCTCCACACTGTCAGTGCAGAGCCTGAAGTGGGGCTTAAACTGAGATCATGACCTGAGCTGAAATCAAGAATTGTATGGTTGGTTAACTGACTGAGCCACTCAGGCACCCCTCAGCTGAGGAATTTTACATTCTGCTGGTCACAGAGGCATCTTCCTGCTAAGTAACCAGCCTCAACCGCAGAGCCCTCCAGGAGTCTTACTAAAACCAGGTAGAAGACTCATTAGTCTCACTGCTGTAAGTAAAGAATGCAGGCACACTGCCTGAAACTTCTTAGGTCCATGATTACAAATCACTAATAATCACTGTTTCATGCCTTGACCAGGGATCAGAGCCATGCAAAACAGCTCAGCCTAATTACAGATTTTTGGGAACTAACCCTTACAGCACACAGTTACGTTTCAGGAAAAGTGTGAATATGATAATCTGGATATGTTTCCATTTAGTATAGAGGTAGCTTGCTCACAAATTCTAGGTGCTAATAAAATATGGCAGTGGAATGTCCTTATGACAGGGTTACATATTTACTTTTATCTCAGGTTTACCATTCTTCAACCAAAGACTTCAGTCTTACTACATCAGGTACTGCTGGTAAGAATACATTACATACGGTGTCTGTTAGAATACATATTTACCTTTGTTATCTAGGATTGCTGCTTTTAGGGAAGGTCACCCTACTGTTTATTGAAAAACTTTATACTGAAATGTCTTCCAAGATAAGTTTTATTGTTTGCCTCTTATACTTTTCCCTTTTATTATTAATATCATTTTTTTAGGTCAGCCATACCTTTGGGCTCGACTAGATAGAAAACCTAACAAATTAGCTGAGAAAAGATTTAAAAATTTTCTACATTCAAAACAAAACGCAAAAGGTTAGTGAGCCTTTTTCTTTTCCTTTTTTTTTTTTTTTTCATTTTTTTCTGATTTAAATCTATAGTTTTTGGCTTATTTCTTGCTGTGGTATTCTACACATTATATCCTTCTTAAAATTTAAGCACTTAGGGAAAAGAAGAAAATTGTAATTGAGTATCTTTATATGTAAGAGGTTGTTATTGAAAAATATTTTAAATTGTTTTCCTAACATTTTTATGACTCATTAGAGTATGTTGATATTATTAAAACATACATATTTCTATATATATTATAAAGAGTAACACATTTTGGTTTTGTTATCTAAGAGAGAAGTCCATAATTTTATAAATCAGGCACAAATCTCAAAGGATTATCAGTATTTTTTTTTTTTATTTTTTTTTTTTCAACGTTTATTTATTTTTGGGACAGAGAGAGACAGAGCATGAACGGGGGAGGGGCAGAGAGAGAGGGAGACACAGAATCTGAAACAGGCTCCAGGCTCTGAGCCATCAGCCCAGAGCCCGACGCGGGGCTCGAACTCACGGACCGCGAGATCGTGACCTGGCTGAAGTCGGACGCTTAACCGACTGCGCCACCCAGGCGCCCCGGATTATCAGTATTTTTAATTATTATGTTAAAATGCCTCTAAGTATTTTATAAGTAGATACATACATTAATCATTATATATCCACTCTTTCATGTATATATTTATATATACACACTTATAGTGTATTAAAAATTTATATAAATCTACACATACTGGAACATTGGCTACTTTAGAGTTTTATGCACTATTTACTTATGGTGGTGGGTTCAAAATTGAAAATTTAAAGTGCTAGTATACTCTAACCCTGAGAAGTGCAGTCACATGGTGTTGATGATGGAGAATAATTATGATACCTGAATGGGGTTTACTACCTGTTCCCACGTTGAATTTATTCAGTCTTTTTAATTTTTTTTTTAAAGCATCACCACATATAAAATTATTGAACTATTTTAGAATTTTTTTGGAATGTTGAGGAGGACTTCAAACCTGTTCCAGAGTGCTGGATACCAGCGAAGGAAATAGAACAATTAAATGGGAATCCGATGCCTGATGAAAATGGACACATTCCTGGTATCATGAAAACTTTTCTAAAATGTGCTTTTGTTTTTACTTGTAAAAAGAACAAAAGATCCAGAAATTGCATAATTTAATTTTAATCTGGTTCTTTATAGTATTTGTATAACACAAAATTTCTGAATCTAATTTATATTAATAATCTATAAAGATGTTTTATATTAAAAATGTCCTCACAGGTTTAGAATCTTCTCTGAGTTAGTTTGCTACCTATAGTTTCTGGGGATGCGAAAATTTTTGCAAAAGTGTGCTGAATGGAGAGATACCCCAGATTAAGGTTTAGTTCAGCAGGCATGTCTTGAGTACCTATAATGTGCAGAATACTCAGGTTCTAGTAATACAAAAATGAAGATCAGAACCTTGATCTTTTAGACACCAGAGGAAATGCAATATTGGTCTGATTTAAGAACTAAAAGGAAAGCATCCACAGGGTATAGTCAGAGAAAACAGGAAGAACTCTAGATCAGCCTGTGGTGTTTAGAGGAGGCTTCTAAGGGGAGAGGACATCTGTACTGAAGCTTAGGAACCAGGAAGTTAGCTGGCAGGGAAGAGAGAAGGTCAGCTTAGGCAAACTCCCATGAAGAGCAGAGATTTGGAGTCTTGGAAGTTTTATGTAATGCTTCTCTGTGGCTGGAATGTTTAGGGTGTATGACCCTGGAGGACATTATAAAAGTTGAGGCTAGAGATGTGGAATGGGCTCAGATCTTAAAGGGATTTATATTTCATTTAAAGGAGTTTGAAGTTCATCCTGAAGTTGATTGTTAAGCAGGGGTGCAGCAGAACTAAATTTAAATTTTTAAAGCAGGATTATGATAAAAGTAGGTTGGGTTTCCCTGGAGACTAATGGACCAGTAAAGATTATTATAGTCACCTGAATGACTACTGAAGGCCAAAGATAGGATGGTCACAATGGCATATGTAGCCTAGTGATTGTTTGATAAAGAATTGTCCACAATGAAGGATCCTATTCTGGTAACAGGAGTTGGGTGAGGAATAGCAATAACGTTCAATACATGTGGAATCAATACATTATTCAGTAAATATTGGAACAGTGCAGTGAATTGTGGAACACTTAATACATGGTCTGTTGTCCTTGAAACTGGAGATAAAGTGGAGAGAAATCTTAAAAAAATAAATAAGTTTCAGTTCTTGAAAAGGTAAATTTTCTGGTAAAGGAATGCTGAGTGCTCTGTACTGAAACACCAAACAGGTTAATTCCTCAACAGAATAAAAAAATAACCTTATTATTAAAAAATGATTGTGATTGAGTAGTAAAACTGTTAACATTATCACTGATTAAAAAATGATGATAATCTGTGTGTGATAAACATCCAAAAAACATTGAGAATTTACAACAAAAGTAAAAATTACCTCACGTCTAAATCCAAAGAACAGCAATGTAGTAATAGTGTTTTCTTTGCCTGATAGGTTGGGTACCAGTGGAGAAAAACAACAAACAGTATTGCTGGCATTCCTCTGTAGTTAATTATGAATTTGAAGTTGCCCTGGTACTGAAGCATCATCCTGATGATCCTGGTCTTTTGGAAATTAGTGCAGTGCCGCTATCAGATCTCCTAGAACAAACACTAGAGCTTATCGGAACAAATATTAATGGAAACCCATATGGTGAGTGAAGCCTTTTCCTATTTAGTTACAGTAACTGTCACTTATAAAGAACTTCCTGGGTTCAACTTAAAACACACACACTAAAGAAATGACTAATAAGAGTTAAATAGCCTTGAGAATTATAGCCATTTCTATTTATGTCCATGGAGAAATTTATTCATGACTCTAACCATTAATTCAAAAGGTTGAATTAACTTCTCATTCTTTCCTATGATAACATTATAGAGCTATTTATGAAAGGTAATTATTCAAGTGTAACTTTTTGTTTTTTAAAATTTATGTGAACTGAGTTGAATGAAAATTATGTGTTTTTCATGGCTAGGTAATTAGTATTAATAGCTAAGAATAAATTAAAGAATTGACACTGAATAGCATAATGAGCATTAGAATCTGTACTATGACGAATGGAGTCGAAGTCCAGAGGGCACTGGGGAGTACATTGTTGATAGGCAGATGAAGCTGGATTCAAGGACATTAAAGCTGGAATAGGAAAATCCTGTATAGAGATCAGAAGCTGACTGATTGGCAGGTATAAAGAAGTTACGATAGTAATTATACAAGTTACCAGAGATCCAGTGTGGCTGTTTGGCAAACATTGAATGATAAGTGAACTTGGCTAATGGTATAGAGAAGGGGTTGGCAGACGTCTGTAAAAGTACAGATAATAAATACTTAGGTTCTGTAGGCTATACCTCTGAAACAAGGCCATAAACAGTACTTAAAAGAATGGGTATAGGGGCGCCTGCGTGGCTCAGTCGGTTAAGCGGCTGACTTCGGCTCAGGTCATGATCTCATGGTCCGTGAGTTCGAGCCCCGCGTCGGGCTCTGTGCTGACAGCTCAGAGCCTGGAGCCTGTTTCAAATTCTGTGTCTCCCTCTCTCTGACCCTCCCCCATTGATGCTCTGTCTCTGTCTCAAAAATAAATAAACGTTAAAAAAATTTAAAAAAAAAAAACAACAAATGGAATTATGTTAATAAATATAATGCTTAAAAAAAAAAAATGGGTATAACTGTGTTCCACTGAAACTACGAAAACAGGTGTTCGGTTGGATTTGGCCCACAGGTCATAGCTTGCTGACCCCTAGTGTAGAGTATATGAAGGTGAAATTTAGATTTAATGAGGTAAGGTGACATTTCTGAATGAGATCACTTGTGGTATATCTCTCTTCCAGGAAACCAACTAAACTTTTTGGTAAATTTATTCCTAAATGTTTTAAAAGGCTTTAAAAGGCTTTTTTATTTGGAGAAGTAAATGTTCTCATTTCTTTTTGAAACCTTTATGTGCCTAATGGAAATTTTTACCATTTAGGGTTAGGAAGCAAGAAGCATCCATTACATCTTCTTATACCACATGGGGCATTTCAAATAAGAAATCTACCAACCTTGAAGCACAATGATCTATTATCCTGGTTTGAAGGTTGCAGAGAGGGTAAAATTGAAGGAATAGTATGGCATTGCAATGATGGCTGTTTAATCAAGGTAATGGCAAAAAATAGCTTGTGGGATTATTTCGTCTTGTTCCTAAAACAAAGTAGAAGTGGCACGAGAATACTCTGTACAAATTGCAGTTAATTCTAATGTGTTGTAAAGAAATTTAATTTCCTCATCTCACATGCCACCATTCTTTATATGATAAAATAATGTTTCCCAATGTGCATTCATTCTCTGGGGCTTTGGTTGTCCTACATGGCCTTCAGAATTAAGGTGATGAAAATGTCTGGAAAAACTGCACATTACATATTCCCTTCTTGTGGATGTTGCACATGAATGCTCTCTGAGATAATCAGCATAGTTTAACTCCACATTTCCCAAACTTGATTATAGAATTTGAGTTAAAAGTGCCAGGGTGACAGTTAATATTTACAGAATCAATTTGTTTATACTTTGTGCCCTTTCTGTCTCTTGGATTTGTCTACTCGATTTCAGACAGGTTCCTGAAATTAGTAATGTTCAAAACTGGACCTTCGTCATACCAACCCCAACTCCCAGCAATTCAAAACATTAGATAGCATTTTTAACCCCTCTCTCCATTACATACAATTATTTCTTAAAGATTCTGATCTATTGAATATATACTTCTCCCCAACCAGTTGGCATTTAATTTTAAGTTAAGCCAAAATTCATGCTTGATTTACTATATCACCCTCCTAAATGTTATCTTTCAGTCTTCTCCCTTTTCTGTCCATTCTTCACAGTAAGTGAAAATGTTACTTTGCTACATAAAACTGCTTAGTGGCATAAAGATTATTCATGACAGGACCCTTGCTTCACTTTCTGGAACTGCTTGTACACCCCCAGCTGCCAAGCATACCCATACTGTATATGCCCTAACCATACTTAAGTAACTGCAATCAGAGCAAAAAGCACCATTCTATCCCATGATATTTAGAATGCCTCTCCGCCCATATTTTTCAATTGGCTAGCTTCTGCACTCAGCAACAGACTCCATTATATTTTTATGGAGCCCCTGATTATGTTCCTGGCAGGTTTCCAGGTGCTGGAAATACAGAGTCAACAAAACAATGTCTGTGCCTTCATGAAGCTCACAGTCTAATGGGGAAGATAGACAGTAACACGTAAATATATAATATGTCAGGAGAAGAACAGCTATGAAAAAAAAAGGGTAAGAAAGTGGAGCCTTAAATAGTGCCTGGCAGATGGTGGGCACTCAAATATTTGTAAGTGAATGAAGGTAATAAAATCTAAAATCTAAATACCCTTTTTTCTCTTTTTAGGTTCATCGCCATCATCTTGGTTTATGCTGGCCAATTCCAGATACTTACATGAATTCAAAACCCGTTATTATCAACATGAACCTGAACAAGTATGACCATGCCTTTGATACTAAGAGTTTGTTTAATCTTCTTTCAAAAATAGATAATCAGAAATTTGGCAGACTCAGAGATATCATACTTGATGTATAAACTAGAAATGCAATTAAAAAACAGCTTTATTATATTTAAACCTTGAATATTCTGCCATGTGGGGAAGGTAAAAAATCTCAAGGTTCAGTGTCTAATATAGCAATACATCTTCTAGCATTTCAGGAAATGAATTTCCCAGTTGCAAATATCTATTCAAGATTTTATTTAGAAGCAGCAAATGAATTTCAACCACTAAACTTAAAAAAATGTAATAGTAATCTCCCACCTTGTACAAAGGTTGGATTCTACCATTACTGGGTAGTAATTTAAAAACAGCAGTTAAACAATTCTGGATCATTAATTTTGAGGATTAAAGAATTTAAAAAAACAATTTAATCTTATTAGACACTTAACAAAACATATAGCTGTAACCTCATAACATGTTTATATACATGTACATATATATAAAATTAGTCTTAACACATATAAGTATGTAAATATATGTAAAAGTCCAATTTTAAATGTTAAAATTACTAAAGTTCACCCTCATACTCTTTAAAAAACTTAAATATTATGAATGTACAGAAATTCATCATAGCTCATTTGACAGACATAATTTAAAAATCTTCAAAAATATACTTTTCTAATGTTTAAAATTTCATATTTTAAATTACTAAATTTAAAATTCACTAAATTTTAGTAAATTTCCAATTTAATTTTAAATTGGATATCTAGTAAATTTTACTAAAACTTCCAAGGTACAGGATATGGAGATGGAAATCATGTAGGTCAGAGACTTGATTTCCTGATGGAGTTTTAACTTACAAAGTTAATAAATAAATAAAACTACAGTTATAGGTGGTCCTTAATAAATGGGGAAATTAGCAGGACTTTCCTCTTCATCTTCAGACTGTTCAGAAGCAGCAACGGGACTGCTTAATTCAACTCCAAATTGTTCAGAAAGTTTTTTTAACTTCTCTTCTAAGAGAATATTCTTTTTCACTTCTTCTTTATAATTATACTTCAGATCTTCAATTTCTTCAAAAAATGAAGGATCAAAGTTTTCCAGTTCTTTTTTCAGCTTTTTTATTTCCTCCTAATAGAAACATGATAACTTTAAAAGATATAGGTAGGAATAAAATACATTCTTTAGGTTTGAACTAAAGAGATGTAATTGCAAACATAAAATCCAGAGTAACTTGAACAATCAAATAGAAACTATATAGGCAGAAGTATTTTCTTAGGATTCTGTTAATAAGGTATCACTGTACAAGGTTTTAAGTAACAAACTTGTTAACTGGCAAATCAAACTGTTCTGTAAATTATGTCCTAGTCTTTGGAATTTATCACTTCTTAAATTGTGTGTGTAGGGGGTGGATATTTAATCTTTATCCAAAAGCATATCAGATACTCTCACTGAGGTAATCAAAGACTTGGCTATTCACTACACAAGTTATGTTGGTTAAGATTCTTTGGTTTAGGCTTCATTTATATTTTTACAAATACCTATTTTTTTTAACAGTCGACTTCATATATATATGTGTATGTGTGTGTGTATATATATATTTAGGATTAGGGAAACTCTAGAACTTCTACCTGGATAAGAGGCCTCTGGTAAAGGGACCATTTGAACTTTAGTGACCATTTAGAATAGCCAGTGATTACTAGTTAATTCTCCAATTCACGCTCTCTCGTTCTGTTTATAGATTCTTTAAGAGATAAAGCATAGCAAGTATCTTTCTTTAAGGGAGCTATTCTTGAAAAGAATTTCAAAAGGAAATAAAAGGCACTGTTCCCAGTGTGACCCAAAACTTAAGAAAATATATTAAAATAATGAGCTATATTTGTGAAAATTAAAAAATAAATTTACTCTTTAATCCTATTTTGTCTTTTTTTTTTTTTGTAGCTCTTCAGTATTTTTAACATCGATAAATATAATGAACTCTGAAATGTTAAGGTCAAAATATTAAGTATATTATGTAACCCCAGGAGTTTTTAGGATGCATACTTAAAACTCATAGTGTTCATAAAATTTGTTTTTAACAGCTATTTTCACAAAACATTTATAATATTATAATTTGATAAAATTAATTACCTTCAAATACTGCTTTTCTGTATCTGAGGTTTTGAGCTGTGTCTCTAAATCTTTTACCTTTTCCGTTAGTTGATCAAGATCTGCCAAAAAAATTTTAAAAATTAGACTCCACTTTTCCCCACTCTGACAAAGGATTTATTTTAGAGAACATAAGTAGAAAACTTATGAAACCAGAACCTGGAAAAATATGGCGTTTTATGACTGGAACACTTTTCAGGATGTGAATACTGTAATGCTACCTCTCAGGTAATTCTGTAGCAGACCAAGAGAAAAGGAACATGCTAGGTATTAAAAGTGTAGAATCAGTTTAATTTTTACATGGGAGAAATTATTTTCCAGAGAAAAAATACAGAGCCAGGAAAAATTGTTAGGTACTCAAAGTACAGCAAAAGAGTAAGTAGACTGTTTGTTAGGGAAGGGGCTCTAACCCAAGTTGGGTATCGGCCAAGGCTCCCGATATCCAACAGTACTGGCTGTTCCGTATCGGTCAATACACATTTACTGTGTAATTACTACGTGAAAAACTTGGTAGGCAGTGTGGAATAATACACCCTAAATACCGTGGTTGGAAAACATTAAGTACACAAATAGAGCACAAAGGCTTTAATTTATTAGATTCTTACCACCCCCCTCACCTGGAGTTAACATATCTCTAATTTTATAATGAGAATCAGTGGACATGTAGGATTTATTTAATTGCCCTCTTTGCTAGAACCATTTTCTTTAAACACTACATAGGTCATATTTTGCAGCCATTGAAGGGTAAAATTTTAAAAGTAATGCTCAAGTTTGAAAATATAATGGGCAGTTGACATTTTCATGAATGAGATAGGAAGCATATTTCTATTAAGGATCATTTGGAATGGTCCCCTAATTATAAGTTGAAGGGCAGGAAATATTTTCCTCATCCTTTCCTTTGGGAATAGTTAGCAGAACCCATATTAATTTGGAAAGCAGAGCAAAATATTTTTCAAAATTTCACTCACCTTTGTAGAAAATGCTAATGATTTTTTATAGAGTTGGTTCTTAATCACCGGGATGCTATATGTTACAAAGATTAGTAATGAAATAGTGCAGCAAAAGTGATTATTATGTATAGCACTTCCGAGAAAGTTAGCTTAATGATATTTGACAGCTTGATAGAAATGGTGAATTCTGTTCTAAAGGATTATACCAATTAATAACAATACTTGACTATTTCATACAACTTTTTCAATATTCTCCCACATATTCTTGTTGCTACTTTGTATTTAAATAGTGCTTTAGGATTGCCAAGACAGTTTTGGTTTGATTTTGAACCTTAACAGTCTTTGAAATATAACAGGTATCCTTATCTATCTTCTTTAAATAGATGAAGAATATAGGGTTCAGAAATTTCCTCTCAGGAAAGTGAGGTTTAGAGAGAACTAGCCTAATGTCAACAGTATTAACAAGTCTTTGGTACTGTGCTAGTCTAGTACACTAAGCTGGCTGCGATAAGAGATCCTGTTGTGGGGCACCTGGGTGGCTTGTCGGGTAAATGTCCAGCTTCGGCTCAGGTCACGATCCTACAGCTTGTGGGTTTGAGCCCCACACTGGGCTCTGTGCTGACTGCTCAGCCTAGAGCCTGCTTCAGATTCTGTGTCTCCTCTCTCAGCCCTTCTTCCTGCTCATGCTCTTTCTCAAAAATAAACAAACATTAAAAAAAAAATTTAAGAGATCCTGTTGAGAGAGACTGACTTGACTATTTTTAGTTGCTTCTTGGCAGTAATACAGTTTCTGTCATCAATAGCAGAGAACAGTGAGGGGCTTTGGAGTTTCAGATTTAGGTTTCATCCTACTTCTCTCACTTTCTAGCTGTTGTGACCATGTTAGCCTCTTTAAGGTAAAGATCACAGGTGAAATGAAGACAATGGTACCCACCACACAGGGTTATCAAAGTTATGAAATCCTTGTTAAAGCACTTAGCATAGTATCTGGTACAACTCCTACAAGATAGCTCATACACAGTAGTAACAAGAATATGTGGTAGAATACTGAAAAAGCTGTATGAAATAATCCAAGATTGTTCAGATATAAATTGGTATAATCCTTTGGAACAGAATTTGCCATTTCCATCAGGCTATCAAATATACATAATGAACAAATGATTCTTGTTTACAGTGATGTTCTAAAAAGTCAACGTGAACGATGAATTAGTGAATATTAAACTGTTACTCATAGGGAAAACGTACATACATATACATACTCAGATCTCACATAGATTAAAATTTTAAATCCTGGAAACAACTCATCCTGGTCAATTTTTTTTTTTTTTTTTTAATGTTTATTTTTGAGAGAGAGAGACAGAGTGCTAGTGGGGGAGGTGCAGAGAGAGAGGGAGACAAAGAATCCAAAGCAGACACCAGGCTCTTAGCTGTCAAGCACAAAGCCTGATGCGGGGCTCAAACTCACGGACCGCGAGATCATGACCTGAGCTGAAGTCGGATGCTCAACTGAGCCACCCAGTGGCTGACTGAGCGCCCCTGGTCAATTCTGTTGTGTTTTAAAAAAAATTGTTCAGAAAAAATTCAGAAGTATCAAGTGATTCTTCTGAGGCTGCCCCACTAGTAAGTGTCAGAATTGGGATTTAAACCCTGTCCAACTGGCTCCAGAACCAGTTTATCACCCTATGCTGTACTGTCTCATACTGTCTCCTTAACCTCGTACTGTCTCTCATCTATATGAGAGCTGAAATAAGAATGCAGAGCTTCATTTTGTTGCATCTCATCTGAAAAACACGGGTCAAAAGTTAAATTTTTCAGTGCTGTGTATCTGCAAAAGCACCAGGAGTACTGGTTTTGGGGGTTACAAGTAAATTTTAGTGAGTGGCTGAATTCACAAATACAGAATCTGAAAATAATGAGGATCAACCATTAATTGTGTGTGTATGTATACATAATGCACATATGCATATATGTATACATATGCACACAGCAGTAGAATGATTAATCACTTCTGAATAGAAGCATGTAGAAGGCTAGACTTTGTTTTACTTTGTAAAAGGATAAAAAAATATAGGCAATGTTTACTATATGTAGTTAATTTTAAGTTAATAAGATGACAACATTTAGAAGATAACGTTCAGAGGGTTTAAAAGGGCCTATACTTAGAAAATGGAATCAAGAGACCTAGTATTCATTGCTTAGCATTGTATCATGATTAAATGTTAACACCATATGGAACACAAAGAGAAAAACACTTGAGCACCTGCTACTCAATATTATAAACAACTTAAAGGACTCAATAGGAACATTATTGTTGCAAGACGCAAAGAGCTCTAAAAACCTGTTCCAGCGATTTGACTTTATACGAAGACAGTCATCAAAAATCTGAATAAATAAAAAAGGCAAACCCTAATTAAAACACTTGGGTTAGCACACATGCTATAAGTATGTTATAAAATACTTTACCGGATATGGTGCTTTCAGCTCCACTTTGGTCTTTGTTAACTTCCAACTGATGGATTAATTCTGCCTTTTCTTTTTCCAGCTGTCTATTAGCTAATCTAGAACACAATGATTATGTATTAAAACAATAACAAAAACCAGACATTGCTTCATAAAATACAAGTATTTCTTATAAACTGTGTGATGTGCACTGCTTATAACTTGCTGATAGTTATAAAGGTAAACATTTATTCATTTACTCTCACTACTGTAATGCTACCATTCTCAAACTGAGGTCAGAAAATGAAAATTCTTTGTTTTGTAAAGTCTGATCTGATATCATTTTTAAGAGTTTTCCTGTTGGAGAAACCTCATGGGAGTATTCCACACAGAATCCAGAAAGTAAATCATTTTTTTTCATTAATTAATATTTGCCTCTGGGCAAATTAGGATCTGGTTGACCCTGTTTTGTTTTTTTTCAGCATCTATTATGTAAAAGAGTAATTGGCGTTAGAAGGATGAAATAAGACTGATAAGCCTGTTAGGCATCAAGTTTGAAAAATCCTAATCTCTAGATATAGCAAACCTGGTTATATCAAAAGATTTTTTTTTTTAAATGGTAGTCATATGAACAGATAATGTACCTTAGAACTTGAAGCGCCCGTTGAAGGCTCTGCTCTGTCTCAGCACCTTCAGGAACATGTTTGAGAATCTCAATCTTTGGGCACAATAAAAAGAGAGCAAAGTTTGATATGGAACTAGAGTTTTAGAACGATACATATTTTCAGTAAAGCATCTTGAATGTGGGGTTTTCCAAAAGCACATATGAGCACTTATCTATGGTGTTCTATTCACTAATCATTCGATAATTACTGAGTACTGCTTGCCCAGGCACTGAGGGTATAGTAATGTGCCAGAGGAAGGAAGGACTATCAAGAAGAATAACTCAGGGTAAGAGGATGGAGAGCCATGGAAGGTAGATGAAGGGCTAAGGAAGGTCTGAGGAGCCTCTGTTTTATCAGAGACCTAGGGGGCTATGAAAATATTTCGGTACAGAGGCAAACAAGTGCAAGATCCCAAAGCCTGAGTTTGGCCAATTCAGAGGACTCGAAGGTCAGTGTGAATGAGGGAAAGCAAAGATGAGGCTAGAAAGGAAACCAGATGCCGGACCACATAGGTCCTTATAGGCTATGCAGAGTACTTTAGAATTTTACTCTGGGGTAATGGGGAACCACCAGAAGACTCTAAGGACAGGGTGCTAGGATTTTCTTTATACTTAAACAGCTGACTCTTCAGCTATGTGGAGAAGAGATCAGGAATAGGGACAAAGTGAAACAAGGCAAGAGTGGAAGCAGGGAGGCCAGTTAGGAAATTCTAACAGTTCACATGTGAGAGAATAGCTTAGACTGACAGTGTTGGAGGTGTGGAGACGTCAAATTTGAAATCTATTTTGAAAATAAGAGCTGATGTTATTTAATGAAAAAGATGGGGTGTGAAAGAAGGAATTGATAATCTAAGGCTTTTGGCTTAAACAAATGGTTGAGTGGTGGTGCCATTCACTTAAGAAGGGCCTTCTAGGGGAGGAATTAAGAGTTCCATTAAAAAAAAATTTTTTTAAATGCTTATTTTTGAGAGAGCTTGAGCAGGCGAGGGGCAGGGAGAAGGGGGAACAGAGGATCTGAAGCCAGGCTCTGCGCTAACAGCAGAAGCTCCATGCAGGGCTTGAATTCACGAACTGCAAGACCATGACCTGAGGTGAAGTCAGGCACTTAACCAACTGAGCCACCCAGTTGCCCCAAGAGTTCATTTTTATATACATAAGATAATGCCAAGAAGTGGCTTGATATGAAATGCATTATTTTCTCATAAAGAAAAATTACTTGCTTGTTGCTCAAGGTCTTCAGTGTATTTCTTAGCTTTTTGTTCCCTCTCTGTTGCTTGTTTTACAAGCTGTTTAAGATCAGTAAGGTTTTGCGTTTTTTTGGCAATGTCAGTTTCCAATTCTTTCAGCTTGGTTTCATACATTCTAAAAGGAAAGAAAAAATAGTGTACACATGGAAATAATTCATTGATTTAAAAGCCAGTTCAAGTCATTGCACTAAAAATAACAGAGTATCTTACACTGCTTCTTCTATTCAAATCTTTTACTGCTGCATATTTACTTAGCATTAGGTGACAACAAGGGATAAGTACCCCTAATTAACAAGCCAATTAAAATAGAGGATTTAGGTGTTTCCCGAGGTTATAAACAAGGATGGAGCCTGTTTGATCACTAGCAAAAAGATTACAATTAGTTTTTTTTCTTTTTCAGTCACAAACCAAAAAACTGCAATTCATCAGATTATCAAATTCTGTATTATTGGGTAGTCTCAGAAATATACTTAAAGATCACAAACTAAGCAGTTCACACATCTATTATGTATACCTGCATAGAAGCATACAAAAAAAGGTACCCAGGTAGAGCAAAACCAAAAGGACACTATTGGGAGAGGAAAAATATGCAAAAGCATGGGTGAGAAAATGGCATATGACAAAATCTGAATAGATCTGTAACCTTTAAAGAAATGACCAATAATTTAAAAAAATCTAGACTCCAAAAGGAAATTTTAAAACATTGAGCCAAAATGATTTTTTTTTTTATTTTTATTTTTTAAATTTTTTTTTTTTTCAACATTTATTTATTTTTGGGACAGAGAGAGACAGAGCATGAACGGGGGAGGGGCAGAGAGAGAGGGAGACA